ATAAAAATATTTTTTTAAATTTATTCGACAGGTAGAGTTACAGACAGTGAAAGGGAGAGACAGAGAGAAAGGTCTTCCTTCTATTGGTTCTCTCCCCAAATGGCCGCTATGGCCGGCGCTGCGCTGATCCAAAGCCAAGAGCCAGGTGCTTCCTCCTGGTCTCTCACGCGGGTGCAGGGCCCAAGTACTTGGGCCATTCTCTACTGCCTTCCCGGGCTACAGCAGAGAGCTGGACTGGAAGAGGAGCAACCAGGACTAGAACCCGGTGCCCATATGGGATGCTGGCGCCGCAGGCAGAGAATTAACCAAGTGAGCCATGGCGCCAGCTCCATAAAAATATTTTAAACGGGCTGGCATTGTGGCACATTGGTTTAAGCCACCACCTGTGATGCTGGCATCCCATGTGAGTGCCGGTTGAAGTCCCAGCTGCTCCACTTCTGATCTAGCTCCCTGCTAATGTGCCTAGGAAAGCAGCAGAAGTGCCTGGGCCCCTGCCACCCATGTGGAAGCCCCTGTCAGAGTCCCAGGCTCCTGGTTTTGGCCTGGCCTAGCCCTGGCCATCGTAGCCATTTGGACAGTGAACCAGCGAATGGAAGATCTCTGTCTCTCTGCCTCTTTATTTCCTTGTTAACTCCCTCTCTCTGTCTGTAACTCTTTCAAATAAAATAAATCTTAAAAAAAAAAAAAAGAATTCATGATCAAAATAAGTCATAATCAAAATATCTGGAATAGTGGTTTGGCTATAAGAAGGTAGTAGCAAATACTTGCATCCAGTATTAACAATCAGAAAAAAAAAATGGGTACACTAAAAAAAAGTCCTGTATCTTTTTAGAGACACTGGGAAGTTATAGATGCAAGGAATTCCAATGGAACTAAACCCCACTGCAGAAAGGACGGCCAGGCTGGCTGGAGACTGGTGAAAGCTCTCCCTTCCGGGCACTTGTGGAGAGAGCAGCAGCACAGGGCAGGGCGGAGGCAAGCCTGCTCTGAGCAGTGTGAGGAACCAGCCAGCTCTCACAGACACACCTGTGGCTTCAACAAAGCAGGGTGTGGAGAAGCCTCAAGCGCACAGCCAGGCTTCCCCAGCCGCCAGCGCTGCCCTAGCAGATTTTTGCTCGGTGCTGGACGGTGGAGGAGGCAGAGGCTAGGTTGGAAATTCAAAGAAAGCTCTCCTGCAATGTTATCCTGCTGGGCAACAGACAGCTGCAGCAAACACAGCACAGACATCACTCTGCCAGTAGCTGAGATCCGGCTCAGCTTCAGACAGGATCGAAGTGATCAGTCCGTGACGGTAGCCGTCTGAGAGGAAGGAAGGCCAACAAAATCTACTTCAGATTCCACGGCTATTTACACATAATATAAACAATACACACAAAGTAGAAAGTGGGACGTGTGAGCAAGAGAAAAAACAGACAATAGGAACAGTCCTGCAGGGGCCAGCGCTGTGGCGCAGCAGGTTAATGCCCTGGCCTGAAACACCAGCATCCCATATGGGCGCCGGTTCGAGACCCGGCTGCTCCACTTCCAATCCAGCTTTCTGCTATGGCCTGGAATAGCAGTAGAAGATGGCCCAAGTCCTTGGGCCCCTGCACCCATGTAGGAGACCCAGGGGAGGCTCCTGGCTTCGGATCGCCACAACCCCGGCCATTGTGGCCAATTGGGGAGTGAACCATCGGATGGAAGACCTCTCTCTCTGCCTCTCCTCCTCTGTGTAACTCTTTCAAATAAATAAAAATAAATCTTGAAAAAAAAAAAACAGTCCTGCAGAATCAGCAGACAAGGGCTTTATTTTATTTTTATTTATTTATTTATTTATTTATTGACAGGCAGAGTGGACAGTGAGAGAGACAGAGAGAAAGGTCTTCCTTTGCCGTTGGTTCACCCTCCAATGGCCACTGCGGCCGGCGCACCCACCGCGCTGATCCGAAGGCAGGAGCCAGGTGCTCCTTCTGGTCTCCCATGGGGTGCAGGGCCCAAGCACTTGGGCTATCCTCCACTGCCTTCCCGGGCCACAGCAGAGAGCTGGACTGGAAGAGGAGCAACCAGGACAGAATCCGGTGCCCTGACCGGGACTAGAACCCGGTGTGCTGGTGCCGCAAGGCGGAGGATTAGCCTAGTGAGCCGCGGCGCCGGCCGACAAGGGCTTTAAATTTACTATTATAACTATCATGAGTATGTTAGAAAAAATGGAAGAAAAGTAGACAAGCCTTTGAAAAGATGAGTACTTGTCAATACGATAATGGAATCTGTAGAAAGAATATGGATATTCTACCACCGAAAACCACAGCATTTTAAATTAAGAATCCATTGGCCAGGCTTAACCAGACTGGAGTCAACACAGAATATCAGTTGAGGGGCTGGTGTTGTGGCACAGCAGGTTAGGCCCCTGCTTGGGATGCCTGCATCCCGTATCAGAGAGCCACTTCTCTGCTGCCGATCCAGCTCCCTGCTAGTGCATCCTGGGAGGCAGCAGATGATGCCCTAAGTGCTTGGGCCCCTGCCAGCCACGTGGGAGAAGTGCACAGAGATCCAGACTCCTGGCCTCGGCCTGGCCCAGTCTGGGCCATTGCAGCCATTTGGTGAGTGAACCAGTGGATGGAAGATCTCCCGCTCTCTCTCTTGCTTGTTCTTTCAAGTAGACAAAAATGAATAAACATTTTAAAAACAGCAAGAATATATATGAGTGGACTTGAAGGCTGGTTATTAGAAATTATATAAACTGAATAACAAAGAAAAAATTAAAACAGACCCAAAAGAGATGTGAGACGTGATAAAAAGAGTATATATGAGTTCAAGAAGAGACAAGAAATAACGGGGCACAAGACAAGAATCTGCAAAAACCAGTGAAAGGTATTAATCCACAGGTCAAAAAGCTCGCAGCAAACCCCAAACTGCATAAATAAGAAGAAAACCACACCCCAAGCGCATTGAACTGTTGAAAACTAAACAGAGAGAAAGAGAAAACCTTAAAAACAACCAGAACAAGTTACTCGCACAAAAACACAAAGAAGGATGAATGAGTTACAGCAAAAACTATGGAAGCCAGAGGAAATGATGCTGGTATCCTTGTAATATCCAGGGGCAGGGGACCCTACACCAGAATAGCATTCTCTGTCACTCAGACATAAAGGCGGGCAGGGACGGATTTCAAGATGAACAAAAAACCAAGCAAATTTACCATAAGCAGGGCCATCATCCAAGAAATGCTAAGAAATGCTAAAAAAAAAAAAAAAGGTGCTTTAGATGGAAGGGAAATGAGCCCAGACAGAATCATGGAACTACAGGAAGGAAAGCAAAGGTAGATGCGCTTATTACTATAATTTTCCATTAAAAAAGACTCTTGACCAACTAAAACAACAATAGCTGTATATTGTGGAACTCACAGCAAACATAAACTCTATGTCGGGAAAGCACAGAGGGCAGTAGGGAGCTACACGGGATCCCTCTGTGAGATTCTTAGGCTGTTCACGAAGCAGCAAAACCCTGGCTCAGAGTAGGCCGGGGAAGTCCAGAGGCGTCTGTCATCTCCAGGGCACCGGCGAGAACCGTGCGGTCCCGAAAGGCAGCTTCTCCAAGGGCTGCCGATGTCTGTTCTGCACTGCTGCGTGTGCACATTAGAAACAGACAAAAAAACTGGAGGATTTTTAGTGTTTTTCCTTTCTCCTTAGCTTCAGTGCTTCTCTGGCTGCACCGTGAAGGAATCCAACTCTTCTCTAACTGCATCTTCTAATGCACTCCAAACATGAGCTCCCAGGTCTCCCTGTTGTTATCTGACTCCTCCCAAGTCCCTTCCTTCCTCTGTGGTTCACTGGGAAAACAGCAAGCGGGTATCTAGACATGGGGTGGCAGGAAGAGGCTGAGGGAAGGGCCTACGCCTTCCAGTTGCCACTTAGTATCCATCCACTTGCGTGGCAACCGGCCTGGAAGGACCTCAATGCTGATACTGAAGTCGACCACACCAGTCAGTGGTAAGACGGACCCTCCAACAACAGAAGCCACCTCAGGCAATCGCCTGGCGCTGCACAAGCTGCTTACGGGGTATCTGCAGGGCCACACAGGGAGCCTGTACTGCTCTCACTCCACTTGCTGAGGGTCTTGTATGTTTTTCCCTTGCTACACGAGGAAATCGAGGCTCAGGGAGGTCGGAGAGCACACCCAAGGGCACAGGGTGAATCCCGCGCTGAACCGAGCTCTGTCCAACTCAGAAACAGTCCCTTAAATGCCAGCCCCATCAGGACATTCCAGGCAGATATTATTAACCTAAACACCAGGCATCCCCATCAACTTTCCTGGAAGGGGAAATCATAAATTTATTTTTGATAGTCTCTGAAATTTAGTAACTCCTTTAATTTTGGATTATGTGGGGGGACGAGCCACAGTAGTGTTAACAGACTTGTAACTTTGTCTCCTGCAGTAAAAACCAGATATTTTCCTATCTGTGCTGTTGTCCCAAGTGTCTCAAAACACTGTTTACCTCCATCAGAACTTAAAATTACGGCATTAGATTCCTGTTGGCTCTTACTAGGTAATGCACTGAAAAAATAATCCCAGAGGGTGCCATGTCACCACTTCGGTCTTTTAAAGTAGCCACAATTCAGTACCTCCGATTTTCTTTGTAGGCCTATGTATTTTATGCACTTACACACGCTATTCTGGAACAGAATCCACTAAGTTTCCCATGATTACTAAGGGGTAGTGCGGAGCATGCACACACAGAGCGCTTGGCGTAGAAGAGGTCCAGGGCGTGCTGTGTCTTCTATGTGCTCCTGCTTACCATACAGTGTGGCAGGGTTTCGCCTGGCTTTCCTTCCTGGCTAGTCCACGAGTCCTCACAGCACACGAATGGTGTCTTTGGGTTCTTGGTGCTCACTGAATCATCATTTATAGAGTCGCTACTGTGTACAAGTCCCACAGGGTGAGGTTGACGAATGGAGAAACCCAAAGGAAGAGAAAAATGCACGTGCTTGTTTGAGCATTTTTTCATTCCTGCTTTCATTTAGAGAATTTCCCAGTGGCTACTCAATGCCAGCCTCTGTTTTTGGCCTTGGGGACAACAGGAAGAAGAAGGCCCAAGTCCTTATTCCTGTGGAGCACCCATTCCAGCCAACAGGAAGAAGAGAAAACAAGCTCTCTGGAGAAAGACAAATGGGAACGCCGTCACAGATGTGGGGAAAATCTAATTCTGAATCTGTATCCGTCTGCTCTGTCTGGCCAAAAAGATTTTGGGAGAAATAAATGATAGGGTTAGAAAACAGGAAATGTGGGTGAAGGTGCTCTCAAAGGCAAAGCCCGTGGGGCTCTCATGAGGACAGCCTACCTTGTCCTATGGTTGCCGGTCTTGCCTAGTAAACTTGGAGGAGGAGTGGAGCCTCCATTGCCCCAGGTGTTTCCGGGGCTGGCCCACGCAAAGACACAAGACAGCTGCCAACTCCAGAGTTCCGGTTCTGGTTCAGGGATTCTATGATGCTGTCAATTACTTGGAATGTACAGAGTTGCTTGGATACCTCGGGCTCCTTGTACAAGTCGGAGAGCAGAGCTGGGAGAGAAGTCGTGTGGGTGACCTGCTCCCACCTGCCAAGCATGTGCTCGGACCAGGTCATGGGAGACCCAGTGGCCCACACCCTGATTCTGTAGGCCAGATCTTTCATTCAGGAAGAACAGGAGAGAGAGAGAGACACCCCCAGGAGGGGCGGGCATTGTGGCCCAGTGGGTTAAAGCTGCCACTTGAGAGGCACACACCCCCTATCAGAGTGCTGGTTCAAGTCCTGGCTGCTCTGCTTCAGATTCAGCTCTCTACTTAATGCAGCCGGCAAGCAGATGATGGTTCCAGTACTTGAGCTCTGGCCTCCCACACGGGAGACCTGGATGGAGTTCCTGGCTCCTGGTTTCAGCCTGGCCCAGCCCCAGCTGTCATGGCCATTGGAGAAGTGAATCAACGGATGGAAGATCGAGCTCACTGGCTTGCGTGCACTTTCTCTCCTTCCATCTCATATAAATAAATCTTTTTCTTTCTTCTTTTTTTTTTAATTTTTTTATTTTTTGACAGGCAGAGTGGACAGTGAGAGAGAGAGACAGAGAGAAAGGTCTTCCCTTGCCGTTGGTTCACCCTCCAATGGCCGCTGCGGCCGGCACGCTGCAGCCGGCGCACCGCGCTGATCCGATGGCAGGAGCCAGGAGCCAGGTGCTTCTCCTGGTCTCCCATGGGGTGCAGGGCCCAAGCACCTGGGCCATCCTCCACTGCACTCCCTGGCCACAGCAGAGAGCTGGCCTGGAAGAGGGGCAACCGGGACAGAATCCGGCTCCCCGACCGGGACTAGAACCTGGTGTGCCGGCACCGCTAGGCGGAGGATTAGCCTAGTGAGCCGCGGCGCCGGCTTCTTTCTTCTTTTTAAGAGGGGGACCCCCTCCAGGAGAACCAGGAGACACAGGGACTGGACACTGAGGGTGTCTCACAAGGAAGACGGAACTGGAGAAACAGCCAGGACGGCCAGGTTTTCAGTTGACTAACACAGACGCTGATATGGACAAGCCTTTCCCCAAAGAGAATACAACCTCACAACACAAGGAAGATAAACACAGCGAGTCCACACATTGCTCCAGAGAGGTGGAACCTCAGACTACAAAGCAGGTAACTTTGGTAAACCAGGACCTGCTCACAGCATAGCTACCGTATACGCTCACCAAACGCAGAAGAGCCACCTGCCAGGGTCCTCGGCTCCCTCATCTGTCCCCAGGCCCAGCTCACCTCTCTGTGTTTCGGACTCAGGCTCCTCCACTCTCCGGGTGAACGTCCTGCTTCCGCAAACGGGGACACTCAGCGCTGGGAATCTTCACCTCCGGAAGAGGACGCCGACGCCGACAGCTCTTGTGGGGTGGGAGTGGCGGACAGATCAAGACCAGCCCAGAGCACCTCGGGCGCTGTTCTTTCCATCCCGGTCTTCACTTTTTTCAAAGCAAATTTCTCCAAAAGCTTCCTTATTCGATCATGCCTCCCTCCAATAAAAATGCAGTAAGGATGACACAGTGCTGGGTTCACTCGGGCAACTCAAATACATGTCTGACAAAGAGTCTACACTTGACTCGGCCGGCTTAGAAACTCATGCAGATAACTGCGTGACGACAGAGGCGGTCACAGGCAGTTCAGATAAAGAGGGGGAAGAGGGAGGAAGAGACAGAATGTTACTGGAGAAAGGGTCGGGGACAGGCCGACTCCACATAGTTCTGGGGTATGTGGGAGGGACCAACTTCCCCTTGAAGGTCAGAAGGCCTTCCTCTTAAGATGCTGCTAGGAAAGCCTGCATCCCCAGCTCTATTTTCCATTCCAGCTTCCTGATAATGGGCGCCCTGGGAGGCAGCAGGTGATGGCTCAAGTAGCTGGGTCCCTGCCAACCATGTGGGAGACCTGGGTTGAGTTCCTGGCTCCTGGCTTCAGCCTGGCCCAGCCCTTGCTGTTGCAGGCATTTGAGGAGTGAACGAACAGATGAAAGAACCCTCTCTGTCTTTGCCTTTCTTTTTTTTTAATTTTTATTTTTTATTTTTTTGACAGGCAGATTTAGACAGTGAGAGAGAGACAGAGATAAAGGTCTTCTTTCTTCCATTGGTTCACCCCCCAAATGGCTGCTACAGCCGGCACTGCGCCGATCCAAAGCCAGGAGCCAGGTGCTTCTCCTGGTCTCCCATGCGGGTGCAGGGCCCAAGGACCTGGGCCATCCTCCACTGCACTCCGGGCCACAACAGAGAGCTGGCCTGGAAGAGGAACAACCAGGACAGAACCGGTGCCCCGACCGGGACTAGAACCCAGGGTGCCAGCGCAGCAGGCGGAGGATTAGCCTATTGAGCCGCGGCGCTGGCCCTGTCTTTGCCTTTCAAAAGAGATGATAGACGGATACAAAGATAGCTGGATGAACAGATGCCTTCTAATCACGCTTAGCTGTTCAAACATGAACTAGAATTGTAGGATCACACGGTAAGTACACAGTCACAAGAAGTATTCAATAAAATGAAATGTGGATGATCTGTTAAGGATATTGTAGAAGATATTCCATGAATTTTCCCCTGTTGGTATGAAGCTGGGACTAAGGAGATCTTGAGCTCTTGCCAAGCCCATGGGTCCCTTATCTTATCCACCAACAGAGTGTGGGGTTACCAACGAGCCTCTCAGAAGAAACAGCCATACCTCATATCAAGCTTCTTAGGAAATCAAGTATTTTTATTCATTTACTGGATTTCATATACCTTGCAGTCCTTAAAACAACTACCAACAGCAGCCACACAAGCCACATGTGAAATGGCAAACAGATGCCCCGGACAACACCCCGCTCCGTCACACACTCAGGAAGGAAGAAAACCCCACAGGGCGCTGACATGGCTTGCCTGAAGCATGACAGGAATTCCTGCAGGGCCCCATGGCAACCAAGCCCTGGGCTTCCTGGGGCTGGACACTCAAAGGCTCCTCCTTCACTTGGATGTCGACTTGACAAGTTAAAGACACCTTACACTGAGTCCCTCTCCCTCTCAATGTTCATCCACAGTTGAGGGCCCAATCAGAAAAAGCGGCAGCTTACACATCACGGCAGGGCCTCAGCCAGCCAGGCCACATGGCCAGATTCTGGACACGTTTCCAAGTTCAGCAGCCACAGGACCCAGAGCCACACAGGGCTGACAGCTCAGGCTTCAGCTGAAAAATCTGCTGAAAGGGGCTCTCGTGAGCTAGACCCTTTGATTTCCTAAGTTGGCCCAAGTACACGAGAGAGAGATGTAAAGCAAGTAACAAGACACTAAGAGCACCCGAGAACCTGGGGTTCTCTTTCGGCCGTCCATGGGGTGAAGCCAGCCGGGAGTCGGCCCAATGGTCCGCGGGCAGCTCCTCTGCCGGAGGAAAGGCTGGTCGGGATGGCAGGTGCATCAGGCCCAAGGCAGGGCTCCTAGTTCTCCTTCCGCGGCTGCTGCAACCGCTTGGCCACAGCGGTGATGAGAGCTGCTCCCTTCCCACTGCCATCCTCTGACAGCATGAAAGTCACCTCGCATCGAGGAGCCAACTCCTTCACAGTCTCCTGCAATATCCGAGAAAAGCTATGAAAGAGAGAGAGAAGCATCATCAGCTCAGTTTTGGAAAGGGATTTACAAGCGACTCTGGTCGAGTCTCCTCGCCACCCTTGCCTCTCAAGTCTCCCAACAGCTTCTGACACAGCTCTTGCAGGCTCTCCTTTCACACAACTACTAGCATGGGATGGTGGGATGGCTCCAGGCTCTCAAGGGCAGAACATCACAGTGTAACGAACAATCCTGTGGAAACAGTTATTACTCTCTACTGCAGAACTGCTGCTCAGAAGTTCAGAAACCTGTCCAAATTTGTACAGCTAACATGCTGATCAGAACCTGTACCAGGTCTTTTTCCCAAAATCTTTCTTTTTTCAGGCTCAAAATTTCCCCTTTTTAGTTCAAATTTCTTCAAGGCCAGGCATTTGCTCTTTTTTTTTTTTTTTTTGGACAGGCAGAGTGGACAGTGAGAGAGAGAGACAGAGAGAAAGGTCTTCCTTTGCCGTTGGTTCACCCTCCAACGGCCGCCGCGGCCAGCGCGCTGCAGCCGGCACACCGCGCTGATCCAAAGCCAGGAGCCAGGTACTTATCCTGGTCTCCCAAGGGGTGCAGGGCCCAAGCACTTGGGCCATCCTCCACTGCCTTCCCAGGCCACAGCAGAGAGCTGGCCTGGAAGGGGTCAACGGGGACAGAATCTGGCACCCCAACCGGGACTAGAACCTGGTGTGCCGGCGCCGCAGGCAGAGGATTAGCCTAGCGAGCCGCGGCGCCGGCCAGGCATTTGCTCTTGAGGTTAAGACAACGCTGCTTGGGAAGCACAAATTCCATATTGGAGTGCCCGAGTTTGAGTCCCGCTCCACTCCTGGCTCCAGCTTCCTGCTAATGCACACCCTGGGAAGCAGCGGTGATCACTCAAGTAGTTGCGTCCCTGTCTGTCACATGGGAGACTCTGATGGACTTCCTGCTTCCTGGCTTTGGCTTTAGCCTTGGCACAGTCCTGTCTGTTCTGGGCATTTGGGGAGTGAACTGTCTTTTGCTCTCTGCCCCTCAAATAAATAAAATTTTTTTTTGAGCTAACTCTTCAGGGATACAGCAGGTTAAGCCACCACTTGGGAACCTGTACCCATTACTGGAGTGCCAGTTTGAGCATTGGCTGCTCTGCCTCCATTTCAGCCTCCTGATAATGTACCTGGGAGGCAGATAGTAGCTGGAGTAATTCAGTTCCTGCCACCCACATAGGATACCGAGATGGAGTTCCTGGCTCCTGACTTCAGCCTGGTCTGGCCCTTGACATGAACCAGTTGGTGGAGGATCTTTCTCATTCTTTCACATAATCTATTTTCTAAAAAAGATTTTTTATTTATTTAAAAGACAGAGTTACAAAGATAGGCAGAGAGAGAGAGAGAGAGAGGCCTTCCATCTGCTGGTTCACTCTCCAAATGGCTACAACAGCAAGAGCTGAGCCGATTTGAAGCCAGGAGCCAGGAGCTTCTTCCAGGTCTCCCACGTGGGTGCAGGGGCCAAGCACTTGGGCCATCCTCCACTGCTTTCCCAGGCACTTTAGCAGGGAGCTGGATCTGAAGTGGAGCAGCTGGGACTTGAACTGGCACCCATATGGGATGCCAGCGCTGCAGGCCAGGGCTTTAACCCGTTACAGCACAGCACCAGCCCTTCAAATACTATATTTCAAAAAGCTAACTCATCATTTATACAAAAAATTAAATATAAAATAGAAACCTATAAGCAGCTTATAGTTGATAAATGCTCTGAGCCAGGTATAACGGTTGATTCTGAGTGCCACCTTGCGAGAGCCAGCTGTGCTTCCAGGAGGCAGAGGCACTGGGGCTCAGCCCTTGTCTGCAGACTCAACGGGTGACATCACCATGCAGCACTCTGTCCCAGGAGAGGGCAGGACACCATCCCACTGGGCAGCCCAGGAGGCCACCACCCCCAACCCCCGCCAGGCCTCTCGGGGCACTCACTGGGGGTGTAGCTTGTACAGGGTGCCATCCACACCCACGGTGATCCTCAGGCGCTCCAGCCCCTGGTCTTCCCTCCTCTTTTCCACGATGGCAGCCAGGCCGGCACCACAGAGCTGGGCTGCCCGCCGGGACACGACGCCGCACACCTCCTTCACCACAATGCTGTCCTCGCACGTGCTGTCCAGGCCCAGCTGCTGCAGGATCCTCCGCACCTGGAGAAGGGCCAGGCGGTCGCTGTGGGCAGGCACAGCGGTGGGTCAGGACCTGCTTCCTGGGGCCCTGGGACCTGCTCCGTGTAACACACGGCTTCCCCATCGTGAAGTGCCCCGGAGACCCAGGCAACAGCTCAACGGGAGCACAAGGCCTGAGATCTCCCCAGGAAGTTCCATCATCTTTACAAACCGCAGTGTGCGCGCCTCTCGTGTTAGGCGTGTTCACTCCCATTCCCTCACTGGGAGAGCCTGTGAGATGCGGCAATCTACACACCAGGACCCATTTTCCAGCAGAGGAGCCAGAGGTTCAGAGGACCTGAGCTCTCAGACAGTAGCCAGCAGGCTTCCAACACCAGCCTCTGCCAGCAGCTCCGGCCCTCTGGCAGGGACCATGCCAGCTCTCAGCTCTCCACCCCATTTAGTGGGGGGCCATCTCTCTCACTCTGTCTTTTAAAGGTTTATTTATTTGAAAGGCAGAAAAAGAGGGAGACAGAGAGAGAGGCTTTCCATCCGCTGGGTCACTCCCCAAGTGGCTGCAATGGCTGGAGCTGGGCCGATCTGAAGCCAGGAGCCAGGAGCTTCTTCCGGGACTCCCATGTGGGTGCAGGAGCCCAAGGACTTGGCCCATCCTCCACTGCTTTCCCAGGCCACTAGCAGGGAGCTGGATCGGAAGTGGAGCTGCCCCCACTGTGCTCACGGGGCTTCTGAGAGAAAATCTGCCAGTGCTGCAGGGCCCTTTGTGCTGCCTTGACAATGACAGGGAGTCATCCCTGTGAAATCTTGGTGATTTACAAAGTCCTTTGGATTTCTATACATTATCAGGGATATTCATAAGCATATATTAAAAAGTGACCCATTTTGATATCATTCTGTTATGAAAATGTTATTAGAACCCCAATAAATTACTGTTTTTCCCTTTGTGCTGAAGAAAAGACTTGGCTCACTGGTGGTGAGTAGGGCAGGAACTGCCCTGTTCTGGAAGAGCCAGGCTCTGAGGAACAGATTCCTAAGCAGGCCCTCAGCTGCACACGTGATGAGGGTTCCCATCCCCAGCCGGCTCTCTGGTGACTGTGACCTTCTGTTGAGGATCCTCTTGGAGGGCTGTACAAAACCCTGCATTGACGGGAAAACCCATCCGGCTGGTGTGAAGTCCGTGCAGCCGCTCAGCCCAGGTGGAGGCGCCCTTTGTCATCCACCTTGGAGAGCCTTCAGTTGTTCCCCTGGAGGAGCGGGGCCTTTCCCGACACCAGGTGACACTGAGGTGTGCTACAGAGGGGCTCTGGGGCCATATGTGAATGCTGATGTTCCTTTTGTGTCCCACAGTCACGGGGAGGGTACCCACCAATCCCTAAGCAAGATGAACTTGTCCTACAGAAAAGTCAAGGCCTCCAAGAAATGGTATAAGTCACGTTTTTTGGCATTGAACCTCCTAATTCCAGGTCCTTGGGAAGCATGATGTGGAACTGGGTCCTAACAGCTGCAAAAATTTGAGTGCCCTGAGCTGGCCTTGTGGAGAAGGCTCTGTGTCTGTAACTTGGGAGCTCCAAGTCTGAGGATGTGTTGAACCCCTTCTGCAAAACTGCACTACTAGTGTCCTGAAAGTTTGTGTCTACCCACATGTCTGATTTAACTACCAGAAAACTCCTTCTGTCCTGTGACAGGTCAGGACCAAGTCTCGGAGGTGAAGCATTACTCAGCAGCACAATAGTAGAAATCACCCAGCTCTGAACGGCTTGTTTCGTGACAGCTACTGCTCCTTGTTTTACATTACCTGGAAAACCTCCTTTTTTACTTCTTGTTCACAACTAGTTTTCTCTTTCTCTTTCTTTCTTTCTTTCTTTCTTTCTTTCTTTCTTTCTTTCTTTCTTTCTTTCTCTCTCTCTCTCTCTCTCTCTCTCTCTCTCTCTCTCTCTCTCTCTCTCTCTCTCTCTCTCTCTCTCTTTCTTTCTTTGACAGGTAGAGTTATAGACAGTGAGAGAGAGAGACAGAGAGAAAGGTCTTCCTTCCGTTAGTTCAGTCCTCAAATGGCCACCACGGCCGGCGCTGCGCCGACCCGAAGCCAGGAGCCAGGTGCTTCCTCCTGGTCTCCCATGGGGTGCAGGGCCCAAGCACTTGGACCATCCTCCACTGCACTCCCGGGCCACAGCAGAGAGCTGGCCTGAAAGAGGAGCAACTGGGACTAGAACCTGGCACCCATATGGGATGCCGGCGCCGCAGGTGGAAGATTAACCAAGTGAGCCAAGGTGCCAGGCTCCACAACTAGTTTTCTTATTGATCCTAGTGGACTGTCTTTTCTTACACAGACTGATTTTGGCCAACATGTGGCAGTTGATAATTAATGCATGTTTCATGCATATGCAAAACAAAAAATATATTAGTTGCTTTTAAGGAATTTCTGACATTACATGTGCTTTTCTGTAGAAATTGTTACTGGACTTATAATTACATACTTAACTCCAATCAGGTTTCTGTAAAATTTAAATAAAACCAAATTCAAAAAAAAAAAAAAAAAGAAGTGGAGCAGCCAGGACTTGACCCAGCACCCATATGGGATGCCAGCACTGCAGGCAGCTGTTTTACCAGCTATGTCACAGTGTCGCCCCCTCCCCCCTTTTTTAAGCCAACTCTCTTTCTACCTAACATTTTCTTTTTTTTTCTTTTTTTTTTCTTTTTGACAGGCAGAGTGGACAGTGAGAGAGAGACAGAGAGAAAGGTCTTCCTTTGCCATTTCTACCTAACATTTTCTGATTCTCTGCTTTCTCATCCAACGAGAGTACACGCCGTGTGAGGATAAAATGATATCTTCCATAGCAGCCAGCACAGGGCTGAGTGTGTTCAACAAGCAGGTGATTGAAGGATGCAGAACACACACCAGCCCCTTAGAGGAGGGAGGGAGACAGATACACAGAGTGAACCAAATGCACACAACACCCAAAGCCTGGAGCCAGGAGCCAGGAGCCAGGAGCCAGGAACTCAATTTAGACCTCCCTCGTGGGTGGCAGGGACCCAGTTACTTGAGCCACCACTGCTGCCTCCCAGGGTGCCCGTCAGCAGGAAGCTGGAGTTGCGAGTGAAACCAGGAATGGAACCCAGGCATTCCAAACGGCATCTTACCCACCACACCAAATGCCTGCCCCAGTCTGTATTTTTAGACTTTGTTAAATGAATAACACTGTGTACCAAGGGGGAAAACAGAGCTTGCATTTTTTTTTTTTAATGTGTATGGAACTAAAATTTGCGATTCCTTATAGGCCTCGTCCCCTGGTTTACCAAGCCCTTTCATGTACTGTATCCTCAGAGCAGTCCTGGGGGTTAAGCCACAGAGCGATTGTTTATCTTGTAATGAAAGAAGCCGTGGTCCAGAGAGGTGAAGCAGGCCGCCTCAGGTCACACAGCTCAAACAGGTTAAGTGGGAAACACACACTCTGAGACTGGAAACCCAGGGCTCTTCCCCGGGGAATCCCTGTGCATAGCACACTCTGACATGGGCCACAGCCAGCAACAGCACCACTTTCCCACGGACACTAACTGGATATGATTTTCTTTGTATTCCATGAAAGAAATGCAGAGATCAAACCATGCAAAGCAGACGCTTCTTGGGCAACAGAAGCGAATGACTGTGCAGCGTGCGGCTGCTGCCACCTTGTACTCCGCCAGGAACAACATCCTCTGTACTCAGCGTCCCCCTCCCTCTGCCTCCAAAAAAAGCAAGGCAAAGCTAAGCCGCTCTGCTTCTCTGCTGCACAGGGGGAGAAACTGTCTCCCACAGCCAGAGAAGATCCCTCTGGTCATCAGAGGCGACTTTTTTTTTTAATTGTTTTCTTGTGCCTTTAAAAACTAGCCCTGTTCTTAGGATGGCCTCCTAATCTGAGAGGGAGCGTGCTGTGTGTCTTGCTGGACTCCCCCTGTGAGAACTGAGCAGAGACAAGGAGAAGCATGGGCGACTTCTACCCTGAGACTCTCATCAGCACTCATCAGCGGGGGCCACTGATCCCGCAGCACCTGCTCAGGCAGCGAGGGCGCCTCTGCAGCAGCCGCCTGATTCCCCTCTGCCCCGCACACTGCTTGCATTTATAAAGCGGTTTCCTCTTCTCCCCTCTGCAATGGGCTTTTTCATTCGCAGTATTTGAACATATTTACTCAGATTCACTGAGTACAATCGAGAGAAAGGTCAAGCACAAAGCCTCTGCTAATATCTAGTACTTGTACAAAGGAAAAAGCAGGGAAACGAACGTACTTGCTCACAACTGCCCATGGTGGAAGCTGGACCTATCTGTTTAAAGGCAGTATTTCCTGGGGCTGGCACTGTGCTGCCGCAGGCTAAGCCACACCATAGGGAAACACTTTCTTTAACCAACATTTCTGCAGTAAGAAAACAACTCACAAAATACAACTGACTATGTGTACAAGAAATAGATTGTATCTCAGAAAAGCAGAAAATTATAAATTATAAGCCAGATACCCTAGACCAAAGGGAAAGGTTAGTAAATTATAAAAGCATAATGTAACTCTAATGCAGCCATTCAGAACAACAAGCACATCTAAGTGAAGAAGGGGAAGTCCTCCTTTTTAGAAGTATTACAGCTAGTAAATCCAGGAATGAGCCCCTCAAATTATCAACATTTGGGAGTAGGCAATGAAGCTAGTGGTTACGATGCCCACATCCCATACCGAAGCACCTGGTTTCGATCGCCAGCTCTGGCTCGTGACTCCAGCTTCCTGCTGATGTGAATCCTGGAAGGCAGCAGTGACGGCTCAAGTAACTAAGTTCCTGATACCCACGTGGGAGACATGACTGTATTCCTGGCTTACAGCCTTGGTCCCCGCCCAGCCTAGCTGATGCAGACATTTGGGGCGTGAATCAGCACTTTCTAAATAAATAAAGGTAAAAATACATAAAGGTAAAAGTTATCACCATTTTACAAACTCTAGTGACATAACAGATCTAGGCAATAAGCATCAATGACTGAAAACATAGGAGAGAGACAGATAAGGCCGTCTATGAAATATTCTTATCCAAAATTCAACACCAAATGTAACCACACAACTGTGTCTAGTTATGAGTTCTCAGGAAATACAAGAGACAGAGGAAAAGGTTACATGCTGCAACCAGCCAAATCCAGAATATAGGAAACTCATGGCATAAAACGATCATTTTTTTTCCTTTTTTTTTTAAACAAATACACTGCAGGGGAAAACAAGAGAAGGAATAGAAATCTGTAGATTAGAAGAGATTTAAGAAACACATCAACCAAATGCAACATGTGGACTTTAGATATCGATCCAAAAAGATGAACTGTAAAAACCATCATTTTTACATAATTCTAGATATAGGCACACTAATAGGACATATTATGGGATTAAAGCTTATCATTCCCTAATTCGGGTGTGATATGGTACTATATTTTGTTGTTTTGTCTTCTTAAAAGAACTCTTATATTGGAGCAGGCGTGGTGGCACAGTGGGTTAAGCTACTGCTTGGGGCAACCACATCCTCTATCAGAGCTACCATGTGAGTCCTGTGTACTCTGCTTCTTATCCAGCTTCCTGCTAATGTGCCAGAAAAGGCAGCAGCTGATGGTCCAACTAATTGGGCCCTGGCCACCCATATGTGAGTCCAGGATGGCGTTCCAGGCCCCCAGCTTCAGCCTAGCCCAGTCCCAGCTGTTGCAGGCATTTGGGGAGTGAAATGAAGATCTCTGTCTTCCTCTCTCTGTCACTGTGCCTTTAAAATAAATAAATCTTTTTAAAATAACCCTTATATTTTAGAAATATATTTGAAATATTTATAGTTCAACTGACATAAAATGTGAGATTTGTTTCAAATTAACCCCATCTGGGAGTGAGGACCTCTGAGTACATAGAGGGGTATTTAAAAAGTTAATGATCGGTGTGTATTAGCAAAACATGATGCACAGATTCCAAAACTTTTTTTGTACAAAAATCAACTCATCTTTTAGCCCCATTTTCCACAAACGTTCTGAAGCTCGCTTGTGGATGACTCAGTCTGGTTACAAGATGATTATTGGTGAAGTAGATGGTGGAAGCATTAAGTTCATTTTACTATTCCTTCCATTTGCTGTGTGTTTAAAACTTTTCATGATAAAAATTAAAACAGGGGCCAGTGCTGTGCCGTAGCAGGTAAAGCCACTGCCTACAGTGCTGGCATCCCATGGGTGCCAGTTCAAGTCCTGGCTGCTCCACTTCTGAGCCAGCTCTCTGCTATGGCCTGGGAAAACAGTAGAAGATGTCCTAAGTCCTTGGGCACCCGCACCCACGTAGGAGACTGGGAAGAAGCTCTTGGCTTCTGGCTGCAGATTGGCTCAGCTCAGGCTGTTGCAGCCATTTGGGGAGTGAATCAGTAGATGGAAGACCTCTCTTTGCTTCTCTGTAACTCGTTCAAACAAATAAATAAATGAATCTTTTAAAAATTTAAAATAATTAAAATTGTGAATGAAAGCTTTCACAAAAAAACACTGAACAAATAATACACACAATGATATTCCGTGTTTGCAAAAAAAAAAAAAAGAAGAAGAAGAAGAAGTTTGCATGCATTTAAGCACTTTAAAAGGACTATAATAGGGGCCGGCGCCGCGGCTCACTAGGCTAATCCTCCGCCTTGCGGCGCCGGCACACCGGGTTCTAGTCCCGGTCGGGGCACCGGATTCTGTCCCGGTTGCCCCTCTTCCAGGCCAGCTCTCTGCTGTGGCCAGGGAGTGCAGTGGAGGATGGCCCACGTGCTTGGGCCCTGCACCCCATGGGAGACCAGGAAAAGCATCTGGCTCCTGGCTCCTGCCATCGGATCAGCGCGGTGCGCCGGCTGCAGTGTGCTGGCCGCAGCAGCCATTGGAGGGTGACCCAACGGCAAAGGAAGACCTTTCTCTCTGTCTCTCTCTCTCGCTGTCCACTCTGCCTGTCAAAAAAAAAAAAAAAAAAAAAAAAAAAAAAAAAAGGACTATAATAGGGCAAAACCCAAAACAGCTGCATTCGTCAGTGAGCATCAGGTTGGAATGTTTCAGACTCTGTTTACATCTAATGGACACCAGTCATCTTTTCAGGAAGAAAAGAACACGTTTTAGCCTTCACCTAACTCCTGTGTAACCATGTAGGACCCCCTGGGGAGGACTCTATCATTTCTGCTGAACACTCTGAGCAGATGGCTACAGCCAGGGACTGAGACAGCCCCAGGAGTCAACCCTTCCTCCAGATCTCAAATCCACTCAACCCCAGTGTGACTGACGGCACATCCCAACAGGGTGTCTCACAGCATGCAGGTAAACCTGTCACACGTCACCTTTCAATCTGGGACAGGAACTTGGTCTCGAAGATGCCCCTGGTCCGGAGCCGCTCTGAAATCTGCCCTCGGAAGAGGAGGCCCTGCTTGGTGAGGCCGATCAGGATCTGCCGCACAATCTCGCCCAGGTACATCCCACTGGTCATCTTCTCATACCTGTTTGGGGGAGGGGCATCCAGCTGGTGAGGGCAGGAAACCTAGTGTGGGCAAGTGGTTTCTGGAAGGGCTTCGGGTCCTGGTGGAGAAGGTGTGCCCTGGGCATCCACAGCTGCCTGGCTGCCCAGGCAGCACAATGCAGAGGGCAGCCTCATGGGACAAAGTGGCCCTGGGACCACTTCACCAGGAGCCAGGCCCTGGCTCTGCCATGGACTAGCTGCCCAGTGTGAGCATGCACCATGAGCCATCATCTGCCAAGTGCAGAGCAGACAAGCACTCCACAAAACCAGCAGGAGGCAAGCATGAGGTGCAGAGCAGGCACTAGGCAGAAGCTAATCCCTCTCCTGGCCCCAAGGCCTGTTCTCCTTGGCTTTGCATTACAAATCTGTTCTGCTGGAGATTCTCCTCGGCTTTGCACTTGAAGAAATCTGTGCCACTACAAACGCTGCTCTGTAAGACATTTAAACCATCTGCGTGCACCAGGGGTACTCCAAATAATGCGAGGTCCCTTCCCCCTTCTGCCAGGCTCCGAGCTCCAGGAGGGCAAACAACAGGCAGCAAAAGGGTTTTGGAACTGACAAGGCACGGAGAAGGCACCGGCCGTGGTTGCAACTGTTACTCGTGACGGTGCTGCAGAGCCGGATGGCCACTGCCTGCAGAGGCAAATGGAAACAGAAGGTGTCTGTGCCGCAGCTGGGTTCCTGTCACTGCGCAGGACCGCATCAGCCTGGGAAGCCAGCATCAGAACACAGAGAATGGTGACTGCGAGGCAGGTCCCAGTGTTCTCCCCTTCACACTCTGATGACCCAGTGGATGCAAACAGAAGGCTGAGGCAGAAGGAAGCGGCCCCTGAAGGAGAACCCAAAGCTCAGATGGCCTAAGGTGTGCTTTACAGAGATGCTCCCTGCTTTTTGGAGCAATTCCAGGTTTAGCTGAACATGCCTCACCTGCCTTCCAGCCACAAGGACTAGTGTCACAGGAAGGTGAGGAACCACCAAGGCCCAGCTTAGCCCTGCCAAGGCTTTCCCTAGTCAACACTCTCAGTCCACCAGCTCTGAGGGTGCCCACGGCCCAGGCATCCCCTTACCTATCTGCTCAACCTCCCCTCTTGGATGTCACTCATCACAGTGAGTCTCTAGTCCCCTTTACCTCACATATGAAGACCTTCATTGTGACAAAGTCCATCTGGCCTGCAAAATGTAAAACGTTTTCCATCTTGTCCTTTTCAGAAAGTGCCAGCCCTTGTGCTGGGGGAAGGGCCGAGGCCCAGTGCACTGGCTCTGCTCTGCCTACCTGAGCTCTCCTAATTAGGAAGGGAGAGCGGCAGGCAAGTGAAAATACGTTTTGGCCGGCGCCACGGCTCACTAGGCTAATCCTCCACCTTGCGGCGCCGGCACACTGGGTTCTAGTCCCGGTCGGGGCGCCGGATTCTGTCCCGGTTGCCCCTCTTCCAGGCCAGCTCTCTGCTGTGGCCAGGGAGTGCAGTGGAGGATGGCCCAAGTGCTTGGGCCCTGCACCCCATGGGAGACCAGGATAAGTACCTGGCTCCTGCCATCGGATCAGCGCGGTGCGCCAGCTGCAGCGCGCCAGCCGTGGCGGCCATTGGAGGGTGAACCAACGGCAAAAGGAAGACCTTTCTCTCTGTCTCTCTCACTGTCCACTCTGCCTGTCAAAAAAAAAAAAAAAAAAAAAAAGAAAATACGTTTTTACTGTTACTCTCAGTGTTTTCAGGATGATCAGTAATTGGGGTACGCCTCACAAGTGATCGTGCCCCAGACTAACACATGACAACATGACTGGCAACCAGGACTCCTGCCCATCACTGGGATGTACTTCCAGCCCCCAGAACAGAGATCAACAACCTGGCAGCCAGCTCTCAAAAGGCTGAGGACACTGACCACTAAACTGGACCTAGCAGAAGCCCACGCTGAGAGGGCTCACTAAATCACCACGCCCCTGCTCTGTGACGCCGGCCTCAAGCAAATGGACACTCTGACAGCCCCTGTCCCACCTGCAGAGCCACCGCTAGCCCTACAATGCCTTAAGGTAATTAGAAAGAAGGCCCCTTTCCTTCTGCCTGCTGGAAACTTGTCACAACCTTTTGCTTTTGTCCCAGTAAGAGACCTGACTGACATGTGACAGAGTTTTAACCAACCCAAAGCCATGGTGTCCGTGGCACAGAAAAGCACCCCTCTCCCCTTAGAGCTGGCAGAGCTGCTCTCTGCACATCCGCCTTCCTCACCTCTGTTTGCCGGGATTCAAGGAGCCCTCATCCACCTCCTTGTCGTACTGGGTCCGGATGTCATCCAGGCAGCCGTTGTCTCCAAAGCCTCCCCACTCTGTGTTGATGCACATCTTCCCTTCGTCCCCTTCCACCAGCTCGATGTTCCGCATCTCCTCCATGTAGCACATGTTGCTGCCTGTTCCTAGGAGGAAGCAGGAAGGGGCTTCAGCCATCAGAGACACCGCGAGGTCCTACTGGGGCAGCGGAGCACAGAGTTGGGTACAGCTGGTGTGAGTCCAGCCTGGCACGCGGAGCTGGCTGACCTCCAGCAAGAACCTCAGCTTTCAGAGGCTCACCTTCTCGCCTGTAGAAAGGAAATAACACCTGCCTTACAGGTTTGTTATAAAGAAAAAAAAAACGGAGTGATATTTCTAAATTTCCTCCCTGTGGCAAATATTCAGTACATGGTCCCTGCCTCCTCCTCTCTCCCCTTCACCTCCTCCTCCATCATCATTGTTGTCAAGCCACAGGCACACAAAGCTTCCAAGCGGTCACAGAGTAGCCATCCGAGCTGGAAGGGACCATCGCCTAGTCTGGGACAAGACAACACACGGCAGCCGTGAGCTTATGACCTGGTGTCAGAACTATGTCAACCCAGCGGTCTGGGGAGCCATCGTATTTGACCCCACAGGCTCCCTATTTGCCCACTAGATCCAGCTGAACCCCTTCCACAGATGAGAAAACTCCAGACAGAGCAAGCAACCTGCCCGCGCTCACAGGTGGGTAACTGTCTGGACTGCAGACAGCTCGGGATACCCCCTCACCCTGTTCCACCTGCTGCTCACATTCAGGAAGCCCAGGCAGCCGACTGGAACAGCTCTCTCAGACTCCATCACGACTTCACCTTTGCCTTTTCCCCAAGACGCCCTTTGTCCCCACCTCACTTGTTCTAATTACACCTCTTCCCCAACCTCTAAGAGACAGTCATCTCCCTGGAACCCACGTGGGCCTTAGTTACTACTGGGCTTCTCCCACAGGTCACTTCAGATCACTGCTTCCTCTCCACTCTTTCCCCTACCCTGAGCCCCGAGAGCCCTAGAAGTCACAGAAGAGAGGAGGCATACGCTGGAGCTGGAGCCAACACCCAGCTCCTTCAGGCTCAGGCCAACACCATCTGACTGCAGTCTAGTCTCCTTCCAAGTCCCTCACTTGCAAATCCTTCCTTTCTATACTATCTCCTTCAGTGGAAAAGGTGTCCTTGGCTTTGAACCCTTCACGGAAAAAGATAATAAGATTTAGGAATTAGGTGACTTGCAATCCCAGTGTTAACTTCATCTTTGCCTAGGACAGAACCTCTGCATAATGGAAAAATCACACACACACACCCACACACACACACACCCTGCCCCTCGTCGCATTAAATGGAAATCCTGACAGGATCAGATGGGAGGAAGCCAGTGGTCTGTGTCTGGTCACTCACCTGCAATCAGGCCAATCTCACAGTTGGGATCTTCATAGCCACAGGTCATCATGGTTCCCACTGTGTCATTGACAACCGCAACTATGTCCAGGTCAAACTCCTGCAAAGGAAGCAGCTCCACTGTGAGCAGCATGTGCAAGTCAAACAGGCTGAGAAGGGGCATAGCAGCCCGAGGAGAGCAGAGGCCAGAGCCACGGGGACCGGGCAGAGGATGGCAGAGCGGAGGGGCCTGGGGGTAGGGGGCAAGGTCAGACATGAGCCTCAATGCCATATCCTACATTTCTCCTCTTGATAGCTTCCCTGAGCATGTCCACCACGTCCTCCCCTTCACAGTCGGTGGCCTTAAAGCCTTTGGTCCATCCTATGAGTGTTCCCTGAAAGAAAGGAGGGGAAATGCACTTTGTCAGTGGTTGCTAAGACCTTGCACAACCTGAACATCTAATGATGCAGGCACTAGAGCTGACCGCCGACCAAGTGCGTGAGCTTTTGGCTGCACACCTGCTCTGCAGCCCTGACACCAGCACAGAGGTGACACAGAGCACAACGCTCAAAAGAGGCTGATGGCTGAGTGCAGTTGCTGGGGAAATTCATGTTCTTCAAGAGTCAGATGACACTTCCTGGGCAAGACTACACAGAATAAAGGCCTGGGATCCCAACAATCCCACTTCTAACTCAACCAAGGACAGACTGAGGTGGGATCAAGGGCAATTCTACAACACGTTCACCAAAACACACTTCTTACAAAGTGAAAACTAGAGGCAACCTGTGATGCCAATACAGACGTCTACCGTCTTGTACGTGGACAAGGGAAACGTTACACAGCCAGAAAAACAAATCATATTGTGAGTGAGTGTTGGATGCTAGAATGGAAGGGAAAGGAAGGATGCTCACCGGGTGCTGGGAAGTGAAAGCACATGAAACATACAGATAGTTCACTGTTCTGCTTTTACTTTTAAAAATTACGCACACATACTTGACCTTGGAACAGAATCTACACTGAGGGGTTGGCAGTGGTTCTGAGTGCAAGATTATGGGTACTTTTATGTCTCTTCTATTTGTCTGTATTTTCTAAAATTATCAGGCATAATTTTTTATAATAATGAGAAATGCTCAAAGTCACATGGTTAACTTGGGGCAGCATAGTTAGTCCAGCCCCAGCTCCGTAGCCTGGAAAATTGAAGGAGGGAGGGTAGACTGGGGGAGTGCTTGGGATAGGAGAGGCCCCCAGCAAACCTGATGGCAGCACCCTCAACCCTGTGGCTGGATGCCACCTTACCCAGAGACCCTTAGCCAGCAAGCCCCGCCCCTCTTGCTCTCTTCAAGCCTTGGGAAATGGGCCCCCTTGCTCCTTTCCTGGTTAATGCATGCAGAACATCAGAGACATACCCCTAATTCAAAAACCCCCTCATACAAATAATCTTTTAAATTATGTACGCATGTGTGTATTTTATTTGAAAGGCAAAGACATAGAGACACACAGCAAGCTCTCCCATCCGCTGGTTCACTCCCCAAGCATCTGCATCACCCAGGGCTGGGTTAGGCCAAAGCCAGGACTCTAGAACTCAATCCAGGTCTCCCACATGGGTGGCAGGGGCCCAAGCACTTGAACAGTCTCCTAGGACAGATATTAGCAGGAAACTGGAATCAGAAGTAGAGCTGAAACTCAAACTCAGGCACTGTGATATGGGATCCAGGTGTTCCTAGGTGGTGTCTTAACCACTACACGAAACACCTCCCACATAATATACATATTCTAAAGCTCCACTCCTTCCCCCAGCCATCAGTGGCTTTGCTCCAAGGTGTCCACTGCTCTGCCCTCCTTGCTGTGTTTTCAGGGGCCTGTCAACATTGCTGCAGGCAGAGGCCCAGAGGCCTGGTGGCCTGGTCAGAGGCACTGCTATGTCTTGGTGCCTATCGGCCATTCAGAACCGTGGACAGCTGCAAATGGCAAATCCCCTCCCCAGCAGCAGATTAATTTTTAACGGCAGCAGTAATTCAGGAACATGTGACTCTAATGAAAAATTACAACATGACTGGTAAGGATAAAGTCCCCCTAGCTCCCCCTACCCTGCCCAATCTGAAAGACAACCTCTACTAGCAGTCTGCCTTGAACCCTTCTTGACCTCTGCCTCTCTTTCTCCACGTATTTTTAAATAAATGAATTCACACTGCAATTTGTTTTCCTCATTCAATAATGCACTTCCTGGACCCTTCTAGGTCAGTTCATATGGATCTGCAAAACACTCCCAATTGTACACAGAAATTTTAAAATCCACAAGAAACCTGTGAAATAGTACTATTTTTATCCCTTTTTTTTTTTTTTTTTTTTTGGACAGGCAGAGTGGACAGTGAGAGAGAGAGACAGAGAGAAAGGTCTTCCTTTGCCGTTGGGTCACCCTCCAATGGCCGCCGCGGCTGATGCACTGCGGCCGGTGCACCGCGCTGATCCGATGGCAGGAGCCAGGTGCTTCTCCTGGTCTCCCATGGGGTGCAGGGCCCAAGCACCTGGGCCATCCTCCACTGCACTCCCTGGCCACAGCAGAGAGCTGGCCTGGAAGAGGGGCAACCGGGACAGAACCCGCGCCCCGACCGGGACTAGAACCTGGTGTGCCGGCGCCACAAGGTGGAGGATTAGCCTAGTGAGCCGCGGCACTGGCCTTTATCCCAATTTTTGAAATAAGGAAAGACACGTACAGAGAGGTTAGCTAACTTGCCCAAGGTCACACAGCCAGTGAGTGGAGCAGGCAGGGTGTGAACCCAGGTCATCTGGCCCGAAAGCCCATGCTCTTACCTACTGCTTCCTGCTGCCTCCTGGTCAGGTTAGGTCACACCCATGGAGCACTCAGAGCAGTTCTGCCATAGATCAGCACTACCGATGTGTTTGCTAAATAAAATCAAGTCCACCGACATGAGGCACATGGGGCAGTCACACTCACAGTGACAGACGGCAGCATGGGGCTTCCAAGGACTGGGGGCTGGGAGTGAGGAGGTAGGAGCTCCAGGTAGGGAAGGTGAAGAGCTGAGAGGAACGGTGGTAATGCTGGTGATGGTGGCACAACAGTGTGAGTGTCCTCAGTGCCACTGATGTGTACACTTAAAAATGCCTACAGAGGTCAGTTTCATGTTGCGCACATGAGGGTACTTCAAACAGTTCAGGAAGTGTGGATGGAAAAAATAAGCTTATTTTGGTGCAAAAAAAATGTTGAGATCCAAGCATAATTCTTTCATAATGTACACTTTCTGTGAACTTTTTGAAGATCTCTTGTATTTTACCCCAATTTAGAACACAGTAAAGGAGAAAGAGTATCTATGGGGACAGTGAGTGGATTAGATGAAATACTAATAAGCCTTTGGTGCTATTCTCCTTAGGGAATATGGCCTCAGTCTGAGCCAGCTCTGGCTGCTGCAGCCATCTAGGGAAGTGAACCAGCAGATGAAAGTGCTCCCCTCACCCCACCATGTAACTCTACCTTTCAAACAAATAGATCAATCTTTAAAGAAAAAAAACAGCAATACAGTAGAACATAGCATTCACCTTGTGTTAGGTGTAATACACAACGCAGAGATGATTGCAAGTGTACAGGAGGAGGTGTAGGTTGTGCACAAATGCCACATTTTTATAGAAGTCCCTTGGATTTCAGTCTCTGGGGAAACCCTAGACCCGATAGCTCGCAGAGGTCCAGGGACACCTGTGTTGTTAAATCCTGCTGTGAACTTCAACCCCCAAGATAATGAAGCATAATAAATACACCATCTAAGTGGTTAAAATTCTCTATGCTGTGTCCCCAGCAGTCCTGACGGTGAGACCCCTGTGTCAAATGCGCAGCGGCTACGAAGCTCCTGCTGTCCTGGCCAGCGGGGCTGCTTACCTTGTCGATGCTCGCCTGCCTGCAGGGAAACGAGAACGTGAAGCCCAGAGGTAGCCGGGCTCCCTTGAGGCCCATGTACTCCAGGAAGTCGGCGATGCACTGCACGATGTGGTCAAACAGCTGCGGGGAGACAGTGGCGTTCACACTGGGCAAGCCCAGGGGAGGGGCTGGCAGGCTGGCACCGAGCACACAGCCCCCACCCCCACCCCCTGGCACCCACCTCCTCGCCAGTGCCCTGCATGATCTCCAGTGGGATGGCGAAGATCTTGTTGTACATCCGCACCGACCTCCGCCCGCTTCTGATCTTCACCAGGAGGACTCGGAAGTTGGTGCCCCCCAGGTCCAGGGCGAGGAATTTCCCTTTCTCTGTGTGCAGAAAGCAAGGACTGAGCAGGGATTGTCCCAGGGCACCAGAAGGATGGAGAGGTGCCGAAACCAAGTAGACCCAGAGCCTGCCCTGCTGGGGCTCATGGATCAGAGGGGCGTGGGGTCACCATGCCCGGCATCAGGCCCCGGCAGGCCCTTGGGTCTGTCTGAGGCCAGACTGCTTCTCTAGGCACAAAACCCCAGGCACAACCTACAGGATCACCAGTAGGGTGCTGGGAAAAGAGCCTGGACTGGAGTCAAGGGATCTGGGTTTCTGAGATGTTGCTGCTATTTTAAAAGATTTATTTATTTGAAAGGCAGAGTTTACAGAGAGAGAAGGAATCAGAGAGGGAGGGAGGGGGAGAGGGAGAGAGGAAGAGAGAGACCTTCCATCTGCTGGTTCACTCCCCAAATGGTGGAAACAGCTGGAGCTTCCTCCAGGTCTCCCACATGGGTGCAGGGCCCCAAGAACTTGGGCCATCTTCTGCTGCTTTCCCACATGCATTTGCAGGGAGCTGGATGGGAAGTGGAGCAGCCGGGACTTGAACCAGTGCCCATATGGGATGCCAGCATCACAGGCGGCAGCTTTACCTGCTACGCCACAATGCTGGCCCCAAGACATCACATTTTTTCTTGAGCAAGAGGAGCCAAGGGCCAGGTCCTGTCTCCCCAGAGCTGCCTAGTGAGGAGGCGGGGCCTCGAAAGGCTCTCTGGCTCTAAACTGCACTGATGGACAGCCTTCGAGGGGTCTGGTACCTAGTAAAGGATATGCATGAGACTTGTACTCAGTGGGCCCCCAAGGATGAATCCAGGCCAGGCCACCCTGACTGCAAGGGACTCTGGGGGTGCTTCTATCTCTCTGTGGCCTAGAAGAGCTGCTTGTTCATCCAACTATGGAGCGGCTCTACCCGTTCCCTGCCCGCCCCCAGACCCCCACATCTCTGCCTGACTAATGAGAAGCCATGTCAGTTCTGGTGCTGTATGCACCCACACACACCCACCCACCCCAAGTTCAAGCCTCTCCCTCGTCTGCCATCGTGTAGCACCAGTCTGTCTACAAAGGTCTGCACCTTGCTCTTAGCCCCACCCACGTGGTTCTAGCCATGCTGGTCTTTCTGCTGTTTCTTGAATGTGCCAGAGCTGTCCCCTGAGCTGTCTCTCTGCCCTTTTATCCCACTCTACCCTCTCTCACAGCAGGTGCTGACATCACGTGGCACAGATTTCTCCAGGGACTGCCAGTGCAACACACAAGGAGTTCCCAAAGGGCAGGTTCTGGGCGCCACTACTCTCTTGTACCCAGAAAGGAGCCTGATGTGGAGTGGCGCTCAGTGAAACTGTGAGGGACGGAGGCAGCAGGACAACAGAGATGAAGGAGTGAAGAACTTAGCAGTAGTCTTTTATGGTTGTTTCTTCTTCCCGTGGGAAAACAAAAGAGCCTTCCTCTGGAAGAGGTCTTTGTTGTTGACAGAACCAAAGTAGAGCTGTGCATGCCAAACCCTTGGGGTCTCAGTCTTGGTGCCCAGCAAATGGGAACCATTCCCTCTTTAGATGAATACCAAGGGGGTGAGGATGAAATTAAATCCAAGGTACAAAAGCAAACTGGAAGATGTAAAAGCTTTTTACAAAAGTCATTAGTTCCAGAAGAGGCTCATGAGGTCTAAAGAATAGATTCCAGGGGTTAAGCAGGTAAAGCCACTGCCTGAGACATGGCATCTCTCAGGCAACACAGGCATGGTGGCTGCCGGTTCAAGTCCCGGCTGCTCCGCTTCCCATCCAGCTCCCTGCTAATGACCTAGGAAAGCAGCAGAAGATGATCCAAGTCCTTGGGTCCCTGCACCCATGTGGGAGACCCAGATGGAATTTCAGGCTCTTGGCTTCATTGTGCCCTAACCTTGGCCACAATGCAGTCATCTGGGGAGTGAACCAGTGGATGGAAGATCTCTCTCTCTCTCTCTGTAACTGCATTTTGAATAAATCAATCAATCTTAAACAAGAGAGAGAGAGAATGGATTCCATTACTGAGTGGATTCTCTCTGCTGAGCACAGATGAGCAGATGAGAGATGAAGGGTTGGAAAAGTCTGGGCCAGAAAGTGACAAGAGGGGCGGGGAAAGAGCCAGGGAATCGGGCAGGAAGACAAAGCCAGCACCCAGATGGAAGCTCCTGGGCCAGAGTCTGCGTATTCTGTTTGCTCACAGGATGAGGTGTGCTTGTGTTCTCACATACAGACCCTAACACACACACACACACACGCATGCACGCATACATACACACACACACACACACACACACAACCTTACTTAGATACTCTCTCACTGCAAACACAGAGGGCTAACCAAGGCAAACAGGCTCAGGAGGAGAGCTAACCTTCCACCCTGCTCCTCCTCCCTCATTACAGACATGAATCCAAAGCCCTAAAAGGCAAACAGCACCCCAGGTTTAGGGCTCCAGGTGGCCCTTCTGAGAGGGGCTGCAGCAGGCCCACCTGTGCCATCGGGCATCCCGCAGACGTAGGTGGGCAGCATCTTGACCGTGGCCAGAGGGTGGGTCTTCTTCTTCAGCCCAAACTCGAGCTCAGCCCGCATCCTGTCCTGCACACCCACAAGCTGCTCGAGGGTCAGCCGGAACAGAGCCAGCACCTCGTCGATCTGCTTCCGCTGGGCCTGCACGCGGGAGGCCACCGCGGTCACCATGGCGGCCCCCTTGGTGCTGCCACTCTCTGACAGGAGGAAGCGGACATCACAGTTGGGGACCAGTTTCCGCACTACTTTGTGCAGGCGTTTGGGGTACCTGAAAGCAGGGCAAAGACAGCATATTTCACACTCAGGAAGGCCCAGCCCAGCCAGCGGGAGCAGACACAGGCATGGTGGGGCAATACATCCTGCTGGGCCAGAGCACAGCCCTTTCTATGCTGGATGGCGGGGCAGGGGTGTTAGGTAACTAGGAAGACGGGCAGTGAAAATGTGCTCTGGAGGCCTCGGGACATGGCTAATTTATCCACTGGTGTTTCAGCCATGAGAGCAGGCCCATGCATAGGGTGCTGGCTGAACATCACCCCGTCCCAAAGGGAAGGGTTTCCCTCCCAGCCCTTTTCAGGGTGAACCCCCAGTTGGCTTCCAAAACCACCTCTGGGCCTTTTACTCTCCTTCCTCTGAAAGATTTTCCTTTTCTCTCCCAAGAACTTTCACATGAACTTGCCAACCTCTACCATCCCAATTTTCCTTGTCTATAATTAAGTGTGCCTTGTTTCCTACTCTTACCACATAGTGGGTAATCAGTAAGTAATGGATAGACAAGACAGATGGGCACAGGATGGATGGATGGATGCATGGATGGAGACACAGATGGGTAGATGGACCTATGGATGGATACACTGATAGCTAAGTGGATGGACGGGGGGATGGATGGACATGTGAAAGGATGGAAAGGTGGGTGGATGGATAGGGGAGGGATGAACAGACATGTGGATGAACAGATTAGTGGACACATGGGTGGTTGGAGGGATGGATGAACATGTGGATGGATGGAAGGAAGGAAGGAAGGAAGAGCTGGGTGGATGAATGAATAGAGGGAGGGGTGGATGGCCATGTGGACACATGGATGAGTGGCCTTCCTCATTAGACAACTGGCTTTAGCAGAACATTCCCATAATGGTGGCCCCCAAAAGCAACCCAGTCAGAGGAATGTGGGTGCTGGATCCACCCACTCCTTTGCAGAACCAACAGGAGGCGGGTGGTCCCAGCTGCTCAGTGGCTGAGATGCCACTGCAGGGAAGGCCATCTGTGGGGTGTAGGCTGGCAGGCGGCACTCACTGGGGGTGGATCTTGTAGAGCGTGCCGTCCATGCCCACAGTGGTCCGGAGCCGTGTCAGCCTCTTGTTCTCCCGGAGGCGGGTCAGGATGGCCGCCAGGGCAGCAGCACAGAGGTTGGCCGAGCGGAAGGAGACGATGGTGCAGACATGCTGGACGGCAATGCAGTCGGCCTCGGATGGCTCCAGGCCCAGATCCACCAGGATCTCTCTTGTATTGGCCAGGCCTTCTTTATACCTGCCAGGGAGAGGAGTGAAAGGGCCATACTGCTCCCTCCTGTGGGCATCCCCAGCCCTCTCCTCTCTCAAGGATTGTGAAAATAAATGAGCTGGTGCCTAGCAATCCAGTGAGGACAATATCAACACTGATAACAGCAGCCACTACTTGCTAAGCACTTGCTACGTGCCAGACGATTGTCCAAGGGTTGTATGTGAACTCACTCATCTAATCCTCACCTCAGTCCCGTAGGAAGCACCACCAGTCCCCAGTGCAGAGATGAGGGATGTGAGGCACAGAGAGTGAGTAATTTTGACCAAGGTCATACAGCAGGTAAATGCTAGAGCCAAGGTTTGAACTCAGTTAGATTACAGAGCCTGCATGTGTAACTACTCTGGACAATCCTGCCTTTCTTTTTTTTTTTTTTTTGACAGGCAGAGTGGACAGTGAGAGAGAGAGACAGAGAGAAAGGTCTTCCTTTTGCCGTTGGTTCACCCTCCAATGGCTGCCACGGCCAGCGCACTGCGGCAGGCGCACTGCACTGATCCGATGGCAGGAGCCAGGTACTTATCCTGGTCTCCCATGGGGTGCAGGGCCCAAGTACTTGGGCCATCCTCCACTGCCTTCCCGAGCCTCAGCAGAGAGCTGGCCTGGAAGAGGGGCAACCGGGACAGAATCCGGTGCCCTGACCGGGACTAGAACCCGGTGTGCCGGCGCCGCAAGGCAGAGGATTAGCCTAGTGAGCCGCGGCGCCGGCCAATCCTGCCTTTCACAGAAGCTCCATCCCCACTCAGTCTGGCTCAGACAAAGACTCTGCTGGGCTAAGAATCTAAACTGACTACAGAGCTCAGGACAATGCCAGGGTTTTGAAAATCAGGAGCAGAACCCGCAGTTAACTGAGGCCAGCCGGCTCCCCATTCCAGCTTCCTCTTCTAGGGACCTGGGCAAAAGCTGTCCATGTTGGGACCAGATGGAGAAGGCTCTTGCCACTGTGGGAGCTTTCAACTAGGACCCCATGCGTGGGCTCAAAGGGGCCCAAGGGTGCTCTGATATCATAAGTAAAATTGTGCACAAATGTGCATTTTGGGGATAAAGCATCCAGAAAGGGGCCTGTGACCCTAGCAAAGTTACAAGCCACCCCTTCAGACAGGAGGAAGGCAGCAAGCGTGGAGAGAGGGTGGCCCCTGCAGAACTCCTGGCTGACAAAGCCAGAAAGAAGGTGGCACCTGAGTCCCAGCAGAAACTCCAGCCCATATGAAGCTGTGCCCAGGTCTGACATCCTGTTGGTGAAGGGGAAGGACCTGGTTCCCACTGCTGTCCACCCCGAGCCCACGGCCCATGGCCACCCACCCTTGCCCTCTCAGAGTCAAGGCAGAAGGGCCTCAGCCAGCGGCTTACCTCTCCATGGCAGCCACGTGCTGTGTTTCGATCTTGCCCTTGGTGTGGAGAGCAGAGGACTTCTGGCCACCAAACAGGAGGCCAGTCTTGGCCATCTTCAGCAAGATGAGCCTGACGAGCTCCCCCAGGTACAGGCCGCTGATCATCTTTTCAAACCTGTGATTTGGTGAACGGATTAGTGGGAGGAACGCCCTTGGTGATGCAGCATCACTGCCCAAAGCCCAGGAGCCAGAGCCACAGTCCACAGCACAGGCCAGAAGGCCTCAGTCCAGCCCAGCGCAGCTGCAGCCCACTGCCCGTGGGAGCCCACTTTTCTGTGGGAGCTGTGCCCCCGCATCTGTAAAGGAGAGGACTGAGCCAGAGAAGAGCTAAGGTTCCTTCCTCCTCACAAAACCCCGGATTCCAAGAATCTTTATCTCAAGTTACCCCTGGTCACGGGGGTGCCACAAGCGTCCTCAACATCATAGACGTCAAGAACTTTCCCCAGATCACCCAGCCATGGCATCAAATCCAACTTCAGACTCAGAGGCTTCCAACCCCTACATCAAGCTTCTGTCCGAGAGAGAAATGTGCTGTGTCTGTGAGATGGGCACGGACAGCTCCAGAGAGACTCTGCAAAAATGTGGGTGAAGTATCCCTCAGAGCTGCCTACGTCTTTACTCTGGGTCTGCACACCACCCCAGGTAAACTGTTACATATAATTTACTTTTGCTATATCTTTTTTTCTTTATCTACTTGAAAGGTAGACTGACAGAAGGAGAGAGAGAAAGGGAGAGAGATCGTCTATCTACTGCCTGATTCCCCAAATGCTGACAATAGCCAAGGATGGGCCAGGCCAAAATCAGGAGCCAGGAGCCCCATTTAGGTCTTCCACACGGATGTCAGGGACTTATGAACTTGAGACATCATCCACTGTCTCCTGGAATGCATTAGCAGGAAGCTGGATCAGAAGCAGAGCAGTCAAGACTCAAACCAGCACTCTGATATTAGATAGAGGCAGCTCAACTGGCAGTTTAACCCAGCACATCACAATCCCCATGATGCCCACCTTTAAATATAATTTCCATTCTCTAAATATAATAAGACACAAAATCAAGCACAATCTGTTTCACAATCAACCTTATATAGTCCACTATCAAAGTCTTAGAACATTAAAGAAACAGAAGACAATAAAAAAATCAGATTGAATTTGCAGAAATGGGATTTATTTTAAGTGAAATGGAAACAGATGAGGAGGATAAAGCCCAATGACTGGATACCACTTCCTTGGAACATGACTGCTTGGGGTCACCAGGGAAGTCAGTGTGTGCTGGGAGCAGGTGCAGTCAACTGCACACGGGCAGTTCTGGTGTTTAAACGGCTGCTAGGAGGCACCTAAAATATTCACTCATCAGGGCAACTCTGCAAAATGGTTGATTCCAGAGCTGGGGCTGGGGATGTGTGAGACGAGGACGACCCTTCTTCCTGTGCCAGAAAATAAAATGTTCTTAAAGGGCAATGGGGACATGTCAAAGGGACACAGAGGCCGGCTGGAAGGGTTTCCTTTGAAAACATTTGATCATGAAACCAATAAGAAGAAATCAGAACTCATTCAAAAAGAAGCCACAGCACAGTAAACGGATGGAGGAGATAGGAAAGCTCTGCCTTGCGGTAGGATAACAGCTAATACACACAGCAGCGATGGGTTCAGAAACTCGTCGATGGATGCTGAACCTAGTGAGTGAAAGCTGCCGGAGGAACGCAGTGTTGACACCGTCTCACGGCATCTCCACACCAGGGACCTGCTCATTACAAAAGGAGTAAGGGCGACCTGCACTGCAGACCCCTGTTGGGTATCCCCTTGCCTATGTGATCAGAGTTAGCTCAAGCAGTAAGGGAGCAGACACACGCCGCGTGCCTCCCCATCCTAGGCACTGCAAAGGCCATCGTCCCTGGCAAGCCGCTGCTGCTCCAAAGTGCAGAACCTGAATCTAATCACGAGGAAACAGCAGACTGATCCAAACTGAGGGGCATTCTGTAAAATAAATGGCCTGCATGCTTTGAGGTCATGAAAAACAAAGAGATCCCAGGGAGTTGCTCCAGACTGAAGGCGGCTAAAGAGGCGCAGCGGTGAAATGTAACCCATGATCCTGGACCGGAGCCCAGATTGGGACACGTCTTTCTTTCTTGTTTTATAAAAGACATTGGTGGGGCAGCTGGTGAATTATGAATAAAGTCTAACTCAGACGCTAGGACTCAGCACTGATTGTCTAACTGTAGTGACTGTGGTGGTTATGTAAGAGCAGGTTCTTGATTTTGGATGATATGCCCTGATGTATTTAAGGGTACATGGTCACTACACCTGCCACTCAGTCTCAATGGTTCCTGAAAGGTGATGCTATACATCCACACAGACGTGTACCCCAACAGCAATGGGAGCGTGTCAAAAAGACACAGGAGTCAAAAAGAAAGAACTGCTACTTGGGAAATCTGAGTGAAGAGGGTGAGAATATGGGAAATTCTGTACTATTTTCTCAACTTTTCTAGAGACCTAAATTTACTTTTGCACTTTTTGAAAATATTTTTTTTCATTCAACAAATACTGGCCTGCAATATTGTATAAGATACCACGTGTGGGAGGGAAAGGACAATCAGCCACGTGGCTACCCTCAGGGAGCTCAGCACGGGGACAAGTGCTAAGCAGATAGCACCACGATACTTACAGTGCAGGCAGGATGGGACGAGGCTGAAAAGACCCTGCCCAACTAGAGAAGAGAGGGACGCGTGCCCTGGGGGGGGGGGGGTCACACCTTTGTCTCCAGTGCCTTGTGCATATTCTTGGAAATCTTGATGAATCAGAATTAGAGTTCCAGCTTAATTTATGCCCTAATCACTTCACTTCCTTGGCTTTGATTTCCTCGTCTGTCCAGTGAAACTGGAATAAAGTCTTGCCTTGTAAACTCATCATGACAGATGGCTTGCCGCGACGAGGGCCTCCCAGGTATCAAGGGCACAGAGGGAGTGGGGATGGCCTGGTGCGCTCACCCAGAATCTGGCAAGAAGATACTCACAGCTGCTTCCCCGGGTTGAGCGAGCCAAGGTCCAGCTCCCTGTCAAACTCAGTGCGGATGTCTTCCAGGGCGCCGTCGTCACCGAAGGCCCCCCACTCCGTGTTGATGCACATCCTGCCCTCGTCGCCCTCCACCAGGTCGATGTTGCTCATGTCCTCCATATAGCACGCGTTGGTGCCAGTGCCTGGACAAGGGGTCAGAGAGAACACGTGAGCAGAGAGGCGCTCCTGGCTGGGCAGGGACGGAATGAACCCTCGGCAGCCCAGCTTCCAGGTGCTTCTGTCGCTTCTGGGAGGCCCCTAGCACTTGGGAGGCTGTAGGAGGCTTGGGAAATCACTCAGCCTGGTTTTGTCAAGGCAGCCACAGGCAGGACTTGAAGTTCAGTAAGTCAACAGCAGGCTGAGTTTTAGGTTGATCATTATGTGTGGCCTAAGAATGATACTGTCTCATTCTCAGCCACACAGACACCCCTCACCCTGCCATGTTGTCTCTCTCTTTCTTTTTCTTTCTCTCTCTCTCTCTCTCTCTTTCTTTCTTTTTTTACTGTGTTTGTTTATTTGAAAGTCAGAGTCACAGAGAGAGAGGGAGAGATAGAAAGAGATCTTCCATCAGTTGTGTCACTGCCCAAATGGCTGCAACAGCCATGGCTGAGCCAGGCTGAAGCCAGGAGCTTCATCAGGGTCTCCCACATCAGTGGCAGGGCCCCCAGAACTTGGGCCATTTTCCATTGCTTTCCCTAGGCCATTAGCAGGATCTGAGTCGCAAGTGGAGCAGCCAGGACACAAACCGGCACCTATGTGGGATGCCGGAGGCACAGAGAGCAGCTTTACCCACTACACCACAGCACCAGCACCCCCACACACTCACCACGACTGAAAATCACTCGCCAGTTCAGTTGTGTGGCCTTTCCCCCACCTCCCCAGGGACTCACCCCTGTGACCGCAATACCAAGTGCAGGGCCTGGCACCCAACAGGCCCTCAGTGAACACTTATGAATGAATGAAGGAGCCGATCAACCAGAAATATTTGTATTTGGATTTTGGGGGTTTTGGAATATTTGCATATATATATAATGAGGCACCTTGGGGATGACACCCAAGTCTAATCTCAAAATTCATTTATGCTTCATATACTATGCCTTATACTCATAACCTGAAAGGAATTTCATACAGTGTTTTTGGTACACCTGCACTTTGACTGCAACCTGCCCCATGAGGTCAGGTGTGGAGTTTCCCATTTGAGGCACCACGTGGGAGCTCAAGAAGTTTCAGATACTGGAGACAGGCATCTGGCAGAGTAGTTAAGACCCACGGTGCCTGGGTTCCAGTACCGGCTCCAATTCCAATTCTAGCTTCCTGCTAATGCAGACCCCAGGAGGCATCAGATGACGGCCCACATACTTGCTGCTCATGTGCAAGACCCAGACTGAGTTTCAGCCTCTGGCTCCAGCCTGGCCCAGTGCAAGCTGTTGCAGGCATTTGGGGAATGAACTAGTAGATGAAAGATCTTTCTTTCTGTCTCTCTGCCTTTCAAGTAAACAAAAAATAAATTAAAAAAATAAAACTTTTGGAGTTTAGACATTTTAAACTTCAGAATTTCATACTAGGGATGCCCAGCCTATAGTAATTGTCCATCTCCCTATGTTGCTTCTCTCAGCAGACTGTGTCTATGTCCTTTACACAGATTTTACCTAGATTTTGCTGAAACAAAACCTGAAATCAGGCCCTTCCTCCAACCCTCAGAAAGCAAATCCCACCGACTCACCGATGATGACTCCAACTTCGCAGTAGGGGTCGTCGTAGGCACACGTCATCATGGTCCCCACGGTGTCATTGACCAAGGCCAGGATGTCGACATCCATGTCCTGCTGAACACAAAGTCCCACAGAGGGTCAGCGGGTGGCAAGGAGGAGGGGACCGCTCCCCACGGAGGAAGTGAGCACAGTGAAGGTGGCTGGCTGGGAGGCTGCTAGCTGGGCCTGCCCTGGAGAAGCAGGCCTTCGACCAGGTTCAGGGAAAGGGAGCCCCAGGGGGAGCTAAAGAAGGGACATGCTCCTGCTTTGTGGTGAGGGTCTCTGTGCAATGAAAATGGGGGCAAGCATCCCAGGGGCTCCGCAGCCCTTGTGAGGACCCTGGGAAGTCACTGCGGAATCATGTTTACCCCGGAGTCCTCGCCCACAGGGACAGCTTAGCCAGCAGGCGTAGCTTCAGTCAAGTCCCGTCCAGGGTTTCCACTGAGTCAACCTGGGTCAGTGCACCAAGGGTCCCGAAGGTTTGGAAGAACATTTTCAAGTAAAATGAAAACAGCAAGAGAAAAATACAGGCTATGAAAGAACAGGATGCCTCCGGCGCCGTGGCTCACTAGGCTAATCCTCTGCCTGTGGCGCTGGCACCCCGGGTTCTAGTCCCGGTTGGGGTGCCGGATTCTGTCCTGGTTGCTCCTCTTCCAGGCCAGCTCTCTGCTGTGGCCCGGGAGTGCAGTGGAGGATGGCCCAAGTGCTTGGGACCTGCACCCACATGGGAGACCAGGAGAAGCACCTGGCTCCTGGCTTCGGATCAGCATAGCTCCGGCTGTGGAGGCCATTTAGAGGGGTGAACCAACGGAAGGAAGCCCTTTCTCTCTCTCTCTCTCTCTCACTGTCTAACTCTGCCTGTAAAAAAAAAAAAAAAAAGAGAGAGAGAGAGAAACAGGATGCCAGCCTCAAAGAGAAAAAAGACTTGAAGGGGATACATCCAAAAACGTCCTCTTGCTGATGAGATAATGAGCAATTTGGGCTTCTTTTCCTCTTTTCCAGCTCACCAAGGTCTTGCTTTCGTAGTTATTTAAATTATCGTAAGATACATTCAATAAATAGCGATGTTCAGTGAACAGAATGGGAAGCAGAACAGAGTCATATTAGGAAATGTGATCTTTTAAAGTTTCAGAGAGGGGTGGGATGGCTCACACAGCGTGGGTTCTCCCCAAAACCCCCTGAGAGGGCGGTGGCAGCCCAGGGAAGGGAAGGGCACATGGCTCACCCGTGGGCTCATGCACTTTGGCCATATCTGAACTACATACATCTGGACTACAGCAGGAAGGGCCCTCACATCCCACCCCTCGGATTCTCCTTCCAGGCAGGCATAGCACGAGGCCCCCAGGAGAAAGAGGCTAGGACTGGGGGAGGCAACTCCTCACCTTATGCTTTTTCACAGGCTTGGGTCAAGCGGCTCACTACATCCGTGTCCTGGACGCCACGTGCCTTGAATTTCTTGGTCCATGAAAGTAGGACGCCCTGTGAGAAGACACAAGCCCAGGGCTCATGATACAGTGCACAGCTGCCACCCTCACCACATACCCCACCCTCTACACTGCATCCCCCTAATTTTTTTTTTTTTTTTGCATTGCTTCAGAGGCCTTTTCCAGTCACTTAAATGCCTGCATTACTCTCATCTGAACAGACTGAAACATCATGATGGCACAAAGAGCAACTGCTGAAGGGTTAAAATGGAACCATCTCCTCCCTCACCAAATGCTCTGATGAAAACACCTCGCGTACGGCAGCTGCATATCACACATGGAGGACATGTGGCTGGCAGGCAGAACCACGAACACGCAGTTACCTTACGGGATTCCCTCGGGAACAATTCAACCTGGAGAAATGGTTCTCAAGTTGCACTATCAGTTATTTGCCTAAAAATCATGCTTTCCAAAAGTTTCATGTACAAGACAGCAAATAAGCATAGAATTGTTCAGACTGGAAGAGGACCAGGAGGTTAACAGAATCGCTCCAGGGCTGCTGAGCCCAAGCTCACAACCACCCCCATCCACTCCCTCGTTAGAGACGAGGAAAGGAGCTGTGGAGGGGGAGGTCTCGCAGTGGAGGGCACAGCCCAGGGACGACGGCACCTCTGACACCACCAGGTGTTTTCCTTGCACCTCAGCACCACTGTGTGGCACCTCCCTAACTGCCGCCTTCCGAGGCTCGGACAACGGGGACCCACGAGCGACAGCTGTGCTACAGTTGCCTTATCCAGAAAGGTGCTGGGATGTGGGGTGGGAGAATAGGGAAGGGAGGGACTGACGCTTGCCATTTAATGCTAAGTTGGGGAAAAACAACAGTATACAAGTATATCTGTTTTTATCTGGAGAGCACAATATCAGTGTTTGT